TCCTTTCCTTTCCTTTCCTCTCTTGCTAATACTTTTATTAAAGATTGCAGGTAGAAAAGATTAAAACTAATACAAGCTACAAAAATAAATAAGAATTTAAAAAATGAAAAGTGTAGAAGAGAAAAAGAAAAAAAGTATATAAAGAAGTAATTTCCCCCTTCATCATGACAAATATAAACAATTTTAGTAACTTATCACCATCTCTTAAAATAAAACAAATACTCTCTTCATCCCATATCTCATCTCTTAACTAGAAACAAAATCCAAAAGCCTCGTCAATTATTCCTAATCAGCAAAAGTCCATTAAGGGTTACCAGAAATAACTACATATCTATTTTAATCTTGATCAAATAAGCCAGCTCTATATTCCTTCCCTGTTCTTTTAACAATCTTGATTTTTAATCCCTTCAAATAATGTCAGAGCTTGATTTCTCTTCATTTTTTTCTTGTCCCTTCACAAAAAAATTCTTCAAGATTTTAACAGATCTCTTTTGTACAGTAAGAAAAGGTTATCCAAATCAGTCTTCTGATTTGATACTTGTATCATACCATACTTTAAGTATGGAGACATTAACTGGTTTCATTTGTATGTCCAGTATATCATCTTTTTCCATATTGTTCTTGTAACTTGTCAGATTTAAGTCCACATTCAAATCAATTTCAGACTTATCTGGTATAGCTTCTTCTTCTTCTGTAACATCATTAATACACCATCTATAGTATCAGAGATTCTTAAAATTAATTTAAGAGTCCATTGTTCAAAAATATCCTTCAAAACATCCACTGTTAAAGTATTTTGCTCCATTCTTTGTTAACAAGTTGAATTTTAAGTATTCTTCTCCTTAATTGTAATCTTTATTTTCTCCTAGCTCCTTCTAGTGTCCAATCTTCAAAGTCCCATCCTATCATTTTTTTTTCAAAGAATCCAAACAACCACAGTTTCCCATGGGAAGGATTCTTATAATTAATTTCATATTTTTATTCCAAGTCCATCTGGTCCCTTAGTCCATTGTTAACTTTCCAAAATCAAAACTCTAAACACCCTTTTGCTATTTAACCCAAAAAATAATATTTTTCCAAATCCTTAAAGTTGTATTTAAAAATTCTTTTTCTAAGGAGAAGAACACTCACCCAGTGAATGCAATGAAACTTGCCATTCCAGAGAGTCTTATTTCCAAAGCAATAAAAAATAGTTCCAAAGGTGGTTAAGAAATGAAGCTTGGTTGAGCTTTTTGCTCATAAAAGGCTGTGTTAAAACTGTGAGCTTAGATGGTGTTCCTGGACTCCCAGCCACTTGACTCATAAGCCAACCACAAAACCTCGGTTCCTGCAGTCTACTCACAAGGAGCGACTGCCTGGAGTGCATGTGGGCTATCTCACAATCTCTCCTTTCTCTGGAGAGATTTTGCCTGCCAGGATCCAGCATCCAGCCACCAGTCTCTGCTGTAAACTCTGTCCTGCTGCAGCAGGGACATATATGGCTCACCATGGCACTCACCAGAAGTCTGGAGCTTTTCCATTTTTCAACTAAGCAATTAATTACATGTAATATCTCTAACTTAGCAGCTAGTGGCTATTCTGGTAAAGAATTAAAAGGTGCTGGGTATGTGTGTGTGTGTATGTCTCTGACTATTGTTTGAAACAGAATGCAGTGATGTGTGTCTAAGGTCCCACTTTGGCTCTGGGTCTTGCTGTCAGAGGGGAAACAAGATGCCATTTTTCACTTGATCTGATGGGATCAATCTGTCCCATTCAACCTGTTAGTTATTCAGCTGCTTCTTTCTTTGTTAGGAGTGCCTTGTATCCTTTTTTAAGGAGTGAAAAGCTTCCTGACAATGAAGATCATTGTTGTTTCTAGAGGCTTGATACATGGCAATTTCTAAGGCCTTGGCATGAACTTACTTCTTGTATTTGTTATGGACATTCTGAACAGACACAGCAGCAGGCTTTAGACATTTCTGTACTGAGCTGAGAATATTCTGGATCTCTCTTGTGTCATTCATAGAACTTTTTTCAACTATAAAGCCTTAGATGTATTTAAAAAGTGCTAGCATGCACTAACTCATTTCACACAACTTGTTATGGGGGAGTTTCTTCCAAAGCATTTTGGATTGAGGTATCAACTTTCAGATAACTAGTAAAAAACCTTAGTAGGCTTTTGCTATTGGAAAGAGAGGTGACAATGA